TGTTCATGAGTCACGAAACTAACATACAATGAATTGTAACCCAATCATCCTTCGTACACGGCGGTTCAAAGGAGGTGATACTACCATCAAGAAAACCAAACTTCCGGGGAGAACATAAAGCAATTCGCACGGAATGAGACCAATCATGGAAATTATATAATTTGAGACGTTGTGAGGTAATGAAATCCCTGCGCCGATCTTGCGGTCCAAGGTAGAAAGGAGAATATGTTTCAATTTTTGTAGGTGGTGGTGGAGGAGGTGTGTCATCCCCGACGGCCATTGTTGATGCTTACAGAGAAAAAAAATCAAGGCTACGATATCATGTAGAATTGTATAAACTCACGGCTTAACCTTTCATTAATTGGGGCAAAACTAACATATATATACAATGCTGATTCCTAGAGTTACCATAATTAGGTTACTAGAAATTAGGAAACAATATAAAAGATAATATCAAATATTCCCCAAAAATATATCCTATCAAAATATCCTCAATACGAGTACTCGTATAGTCGTATTAGATTTTAAGTATTTGATATGGGCTGGCGGGCTGCTACTGCATCTTTCACGTGAACATGCAATCTATCATTCAGAAAATAAATAATTAGGGTTTGTACACTAGTAGAAAAATACAAAAAGGCAACCCCCAAATGGCACCGGTTCAGGCCAAACCGGTGCCAAAAATAGGCTAAAAAAAGCGCGGGTTAATGAACCAAGACATAAGGCACCGGTTCACTTCAAACCGGTGCCAAATACTTAAAGGCCACCGGTTTGAACCGGTGCCTTTTGAACCGGATCCATAAAAAAAAAAAAAAAAAAAAAAAAACCGAACCACTCTTTAAATCCCCTAACCCTAATACTCCTCTCCTTTCATCAGATCAATACCCTTCTCTCTCCTCTCATCCTCGCTCTTTCTCTCTCCTCTCCTCTCCTCCTCTTTCTCCCTTAGATCTCGATCTCCTTCTCCTCCTCCTCTTTCAATTTATCTTTTCTCGATCTCCTTCTTCTCCTTCTAAAGCTATCTAGGTTTATGAAGACAACATGCAAGGCCGATGACTTTGCGAATTGATGGGATTTGTTTTAATTTTCTGGGTTTTTGTTTTGATTGATATTTTTTATCGATTTTTTTAAAATTGTAATCTGTTTAAATTCTTTTTTTTTTCTGGGTTATTGTTTTGATCGATTTCAATCGAATTTCTGGGTTATTGTTTTGATTTCAATCGAATTTTTGGGTTTTTTTTTTAAATTTTAATCGATTTTAATTAGAATCGAATTTTTTATCTTTTTTTTTTTATTTTAATCAATTTTGATTTTTTTTTTTTTCAGATTTTAATCGAATTTTTTTTCGATTTAAATTTTTTTTGTTTTCTGGGTTTTTCGATTTTAATTTAATTTTTTTCTGGGTTTTTTTCGATTTAAATTTTTTTCAATTTCTGGGTTTATTCGAATACTGGATTAAAATGGATTTCAAATATTTTTTCGTTTTCTGGGTTTAATTTTTTTTCATGGGTTTTTTTTCGAGTCGAATTTTTTTTTTTCTGGGTTTTTTTTTCGAGTTCAAGTTTTTTTTTGGCTTTTTTTTTTCGATCTCAAATTCTTTTTCGTTTTCTGGGTTTAATTTTTTTTTTCTGGGTTTTTTTTTCAATTTGAAGTTTTTTTTTTCTGGGTTTTCTTTCGAGTTCAAGTTTTTTTCTTTCTGGGTTTTTTTTTTTTCAAATTTTTTTTTCTTTTTCTGGGTTAAATTTTTTATCTGGGTTTTTTTTTCAATTTAAAGTTTTTTTCCTTGGGTTTTTTTTTCGAGTTCATGTTTTTTTTTTCTGGGTTTTTTTTTCGATTTTAAGTTTTTTTTTTCTGGGTTATTGTTTTGATCGATTTCGCAGTTTAATTATATTAATCGATTTTTTTTTTTTGGTTTTAATTGGTGCCGGTATGAATTCTAGATCTGAAATCGAAGAAGCAAGATACAAGAATGAATGGTTTTTTTTTTTTTGATTTATATTGTAATTTGGAATGTTAATTTATATTGTAAGTTTTTTTTATTTATATTCTAGTCGAAGTTTTTATATGTTGTAATATTTTTTTGATCATATATTGCAAATTTTGATGATGATTGATATTGGTTTTATGTTTTGCTGTTGTTATTTATTTTAGGCTATTTAATTTTTTGTATTAAGTATTTAAAAAAAAAATTGTATTAAGAAAATATTCTAATTTGAAAAAAAAAAAATCAAAATTCTTGTATTAAGAAGCAACCTACAAAATGATTTTCCTCAAAAAAACAAAAAAAAAAAAAAAACAGCAATATGATTAATCATTATTTAAAAGCAAACCAATCGTTAATATGAATTCAAAGTAGAAAAACAACTATTCGTTAATACCCCTACCTTTTAGGAAAATAGTAGTCAATTTATTTTAGGAAAATTTGTCAAAAATAACACCACCTTTAGGCGGTCTTCCAGTAATAGCAACACCTTTTGATTATTCCAAAATAACACCACCTTTCACATGTATTTGCCAAAAATGAAACAAAACCGGTTGGTTACCTGTTTTACAGGTTACTTGTGACACGTGTCTCAATGTCATTGGCCAATTTTTTTATATAATTTTTTTTAAAAAAAACCTAATTAATTAAAAAACAAAGTTAAAAAAAAAAACCACCACCTAGCTCCCCTGCCAGCCCCCACCCTCTCCCCGTTCTCGCCGCCGCCCTTCCCCCTCCCCATCCTCGCCGCCGCCTTTCCCCCTCCTCATCCTCGCCGCCGATCGACCTCCCCAGCCTTCCCCCTCCCCTAACGACACCCCTCCACCCATTCCCCCGTCCTTAAACAACCCACCACCGCTTTCCCGTCGTCGTTTCGATCTGGCCCCCTTCTCTTTTCCGTTACCATTTTTGGCCTCTTCCCCTTCCCTTATCCATTTCTGGTGCCCTATTCATTTCCCCATTTTCGATGCCCCTACCCATCCCTTCTCCATTTTCGATACCCCCTCCCTTTCCCTTTCCCAATTTTCGACCCTACCACCTATCTCCTTCCCCGAAACTATAACCAGTCAAAAATGTTGGTTGTGTAAAGGGGATTGGGCGCGAAATTGGGGATGATGAAGGGAAGGGGAATTGAATCTGCTACGGGGAGGAGAGGTGGGGGCTGAAATCGGGAACGGGGAAAGGAGGAGCCCAAAATCAAGGTGGGGGTTGTGGATGTCGATGGGCAGAGGGGCCGAGAAAGTGGGAAGGGGTTTAATTTTTTTTGTTTTTTTTATAAGTTTTTTCAAAATTAAAAATAAAAATAAATAAATTAACCAATCAAACTAGAACACGTGTCCCAGGGTTTCTTGTAAAACAGGTTACCAGTTTTTTGTTTCATTTTTGGCAAATACATGTGAAAGGTGGTGTTATTCTGGAATAATCAAAAGGTGGTGCTATTATTGGAAGACCGCCCAAAGCTGGTGTTATTTTTGACAAATTTTCCTTTATTTTATTACTTGTAATTTAAATTATTGATTTATGTAAATTGTATAGCAACTTGGGATAAATACAAAAACAACTATACCAATTCAAATCCCATTATTTTAGGAAATAATAGTTTATTGCTATAACTTTAATGATAACTTTTTTTTCCTAAAATAAGCCATACAATTGGGCGGAAATTTTTTTCATAATAAGCCGACACGTGTACAGATTTTAGGGGAAAGATCACGTCAGCGGTTGCTACTTTAGTTAATATAATAAATTGCACAGTAGTCTAGCTATTTTTTAAAAAAAAAAATATTATGGAGTAGTACTTGCGCTATAATAGTATAAAATACATACTAAATACTTGCTAGTATAAAGATAAGTAAGCACTTGTATTTTTTTTTAGGGCTCAAATAAGCATTAAATATCTTTCCTTATTTGTTACTCCGTATTAATTTTGGAATGCATGATAAATCACGCGTAAATTAATGTATTTAATGAATATGTTTCACTAATACCTTCCTCTTTTAGCTTTTTATCCAAAACCCTTAGGACTATGTATAGCATTTTGTTTTTATTTTTTTATATCACATATTATACTAAATACTTGTATTTATTATTTTTAAACAATAATTGTATCCTGTACATCTTCCATATCTCCCCCCACCCCCCCAAAAAAAATGTCAATAATTTAAATATCACACTCATCCACCTTGGCGAATTTTTCAATCGTCGTTTTTAATAATGGCCCAGGCCACAGATTAAACACTAAAGATCTTTGTATATGTTTTTTTTTTTTTTAAAAAAAAAAAATAAGATCTTTGTGTATGAAAATTAAACATATTGTATGGTTCTAAAAAAAAAATGCCGGTATTGTTTATTTGTTGTTAACTTGGACATTTTAATTGGATATTGATTTGTATAGAGACAAAATTTTCTAATTTTTGATAAATCCAACAAGTCTCAAATTCAATTGGCAGGACGATTTACGAAAATATTGTTAAATTGAAACTTATTTACCAATTTGCGTCGGTAATAAACTTATTTACCGAATTGTTGTCCACGTAGGATTGGGAATACGTTTGGGTCTATTTAATTTTAAAAATAACAAACTGCTACTTGAGGTAGCGGTTTTAGTATCTAAATCGCTATTCAAAATAGAGGTTTTAATAACAAAACCGCTACTTTGAGTAGCGGCTTTTCTAAATACTTTACACAGCTACATTAAAATTAAAAAAAAAAGAAAAAAGAACAGAGGACCACTACCCACATCACGCACCTCAACATCATCACTGGACGACCTCTCCATCCCCATGAGACCACCAACGACATCACGTCGCCGTCGTCATCTCCGTCCTTCTACACACCGTACCAGAAGACGACCCAATTAACGTCACCACCACCAATTGATGAACAAATTGGATTTCTGATATTTACCCCCAAATTCATAAGGTATTTAGCCCTATTTTTTTTTTCTCATTAATTCATTAGTTGTTAAATTTAATTTTGTTGCTGTTTGGTTTGAAATTCACTTCGCCACTACCACTTAATGTTTTTGAACAAGCTATATGAACTTGTGAAATGTGATCCAAAGAATGTAGAGTTAAAGGTGCAGATGAAATATCCTACTTCTGGTTCATATACACTTCTTCCCCTTGATGACGACATTTCTTTAAGAGCCATGTGGGTTGGTATATCAAAGTTGTCGGGTTCCACTATGGAGTTGTACATTGACCAAGTTGTCAAGCAGGTAGTAATGAAGACTAACTTGGGGTTATATCCTAGCTCCAATTCTAGTATGCCTCTCCAAATGACTGGAACAAATTCAGAGGTAGTAGTCTCTTTCACAAGATTGCTGACTGATGATCTTTATGTTCACCAACATATTTCGAGCTAACTTCTCCCACACCAACTCCTCACACAGGAACCTCCTCCAGAAATCCCTCTTTAGATGAACTCGATTACATTAATCTTGAACAAGTTGATGGCTTTGGAACCATAGTAGTTAATTTGGATGGTGATGAAAGTGATGAAGAAGGTGCATGTGAGGAAAATGACATTGTCATAAAAACAAATGCTCCTTCACAATCTTTTAATGTCGTAGATGAAATGGATCAAACACTTCGTGACTCATGGATAACATGGCTAGGAAACAACACTTATAATGGTGAATTCAGTGCTGGTCAGGAGTTTGATTCCTTACATCAACTTAAAGATATAGTAAAATCATACTCCATCACTAAAAATCAATCATTTTGAGTGGTTGAGTCCGAGCCATCAAAGTATGTTGTGGAGTGTAAAAGGAAAAAGACACACAATTGTCCTTGGAAGCTGCGTGCAATTAAGGATCCAATGTTACCTATTTTTCGAGTTGTGAAGTATAATGGTCCGCATGCAAATAATTGTGTAGGTGACATTATCTCCGGTGATCATCAAAATCTCACTTCTGAATTTGTGTGCAATATCATCTTAGATCTTGTACGAGTTGATCCTTCTTTTAAAATACGTGCTATTGTACAAGTTATTAAGAATCGAACCGAATTCTCTATAACTTACAGGAAGGCATGGCTAGCAAAACAAAAGGCAATCGCCATTATATTTAGTGATTGGGAGAAATCGTATGAAGAGTTGCCTAGGTACATGCACGCTTTACAAGAAGCCAATGAGGGAACTGTTGTTCATGGAGCACAATAGAGACATCTAATCCGTCTATTCATGTGTTCAAAAGAGTTTTTTGGGCTTTTAAGCCATCTATTGATGGATTTCGACACTGTAGACCTCTAATCACTATTGATGGGACTCACTTATATGGGAGGTACAAGGGCACCTTGCTCATAGCAATGGAAACTGATGCAAACCTTCAACTTTTCCCTCTTGCCTTTGCGATTGTAGAAAATGAGTCTATCGAAACTTAGTCATGGTTCATGGCATGTCTTAGGCAATCAGTCACTCAAAGAAGAGGTTTATGTGTCATTTTTTATCGACATGCAGGGATACTAGATGCAATGAATAAGGAGGGGAGTGGATGGGAGGAGCCTTAGGAAATCATTCACGCATGCCGCACATGATAAAGACCATGTTCTTTAGGTAACCTTCAGATGATATTTAGATACATTTGTTCCCTTTGCTGCACCCATGTTGTTGCCTTGTCCATTTATTGATATATAGCTACATTACAAGCCACTTTAGCCCCATTGGTTACTATTCCCAAGTCTAGCTAGCTTGGGGAGCTTGTTGATGTGGTGTCGTTGTTTGAGTGTCAAACTTTAATTTATGCAAAATATGGTGGAATATATATTGAAAAAAAAAGTAGTTTCTATAGTTGAGAAGGGTTACTTGGAAAAAGAAAGAAGGAGAAAAAAAAATAAAAACAAAATAAAAATAAAATCTTGTTTACGTGTACTTCATTGAAAAAGCCAAAGAATTGAAAGAAAAAGGCAAAGAAAAGGAAAAAGAAAGAAAAAAATTATTCATGATGATGTATAGTTGATTTCAATCTTGGTTTTTTTATTATGTTTGGAGAAAGTTGGTGATGTCAATTGGAGTTAGATCATTATTTGACCGCGTTTATGTTTTTGCTCCCCAAGTTGGCTTTTTACTCACATTTTCCTAAATATTATCCTACCCCTTTACCTTAGCCCCATTACAAGCTTATAAAGTCCTTTTGATTGGCGTATGTGTTTTGTGACTAGCTGAGTGAACGTTATCTCTTGCTATCGTCAAGTTACCCTTTGTTGCATCAAATAATTAAATACTACAAGGTGTGCGGCGAAGACTAGCTTGATTGGGTAATTGTTTGTGGCCATGTTTGGTTTCAATTGTGGATCATGATGTTGAGTGGTTCTATTTGTATCTGGCCGCATTTCTATTCTAAAAGCTACCTACCTACTTGAGCATCCCCAACAATGACCAAAAATTGGTTTCTTCATTCTCTCTCTACCCACTTTCTCTCTCTTCCATCCCATGAGCATTTTTTTGATCATAGTTTTATGGAAAATTTGAATTTTGGTACCTCTAATATGGGGCTAATTTTCGTACCGGTTTAAAATTTATTTTTAAATTGGTACCTCCAAATACACATAACTATAGCTTTCAGAATCTCCGTCCATGTTCCGTTAAGTTTTTCGTTAGTGGGGTCCATCATCTAATTATTTAATAATTTAAATTATTGAAAAAAAAAGAAAAAACATTTTTAAATTAAAAAAATAAAAAAAAACTTAAAAAATTAAAAAAAAAACCACCTGCCGCGGCCAGGCACGAAGCCCAGCCACAGCAGCTGCCGCCGCGGCCAGGCAGGAAGCCAAGCCACAGTAGCTGCCGCCGCGGCCAGGCAAGGGTGCCCATAAACCCACCACCCACCACCCACGAACCCAGAAACCCACCACACCCCACCACCCACGAACCCCCGAAACCCACAACCCCACCACCCACGAACCCCGAAACCCACCACCCACAACCCACGAACCCAAAACCCCACCACCCATGAACCCCGAAACCCCCAAACGAACCACCTTTCACCACAAAACGAACCACCTTATCTGAAAACCACCACATCGCCGCGGCTAAGAACTAGGAAGGGAGGGTAGACAGTGGATGGTTGCGCTAGGGTTTCGGGGAAGGGGAAAACAAGGAGGGAAAGGGAAAGGGAGGGGGTGGGATGCCACAGCCAGGAACGAGGAAAGGAGGGACGAAGATGGTGGTGGTTGCGCAAGGGTTTTGGGGAAGGGGAAAACAGGGAGGGAAAGGGAAGGGGTGGCTGGCGCCGGTGCCAGGGGAATTCGGCCACCAACAGTCAGAAGCCGGCGCCGGTGCCAGGGGAATTCGGCCACCAACAGTCAGAAGCCGGCGCCGGTGCCAGGGGAATTCGGCCACCAACAGCCGAAAGCCGGCGCTGGTGGCAGTGGCTGATTTATTATTATTATTATTATTATTATTATTATTATTATTTAAGGTTTTTTTTTATAAAATGTTTTTTTTAATAAAAATTATTAAATAATTAGATAATGGGTTCCATAAACAGAAAACTTGACGGAGCTGGACGGAGTACATACTGAAATCTACAATTATGTTTTTTTGGAGGTATCAATTTAAAAATAAATTTTAAACGGGTACAAAAATTCAATTAGCCCCATATTCGAGGTACCAAAATCCAAATTTTCCTAGTTTTATCCCATCAATGATAAAAAAAAAAATTTCTTCCCCATTCTCTCTCTAGTACATCTTCTCTCTTACTTTTACTAATACCCTCTTATATTTCTCTCTACTATATTATTTTTAATTCTTTTTTTTACTTGCATTGTGGACCCCACATGATTACTATTCATCTTTAAAAATGCTCATCCTATGAGCAATTTTCATCTTGCTCATGAGCATTTTTACTTTTGCTCATTGATGTAAGTCATTTTTGTTTGAATTTCACCCAAAGCTTTGCTTATGAGTATTTTTTTTGCTCATTGTTGGGAATGCTAAGGGTGTGTTCCGATTTGCCGAATTAAACTGAATGGAGCTGAAATGAATTGTTTATCGAGTAGTGGGTTAAAATAGATCAGTTCATAAACATATTGGGTTACGGGTTTTAAACAGTTCAATCATTATAGATTATGGGTTGTAAACGGTTCGGTCTCAACGGGTTACAGGTTGTAAACGGTTCGATATCAATGGGTTACGGATTGAAAATGTTCAGTCAATAACGTGTTACAAGTTATAAACGGTTCATTGACAACTGGTTACAGATTGGAATGGTTCAAGTTTATCGGATTTTTGACGGGTTTAAACAATTTTCGGTATAAAATGGGTCGAGTTACTATTAGGTCGGATGTAATCGGTTCGGGTTGCTTTTGGTTTCGGGTTGTAATGGTTTGGTTTGATAACGGGTCTGGTCATTAACGGTTTGCACAAATTCAGTTCAGTTCAGTCGTTTTTGGGTTGGAAAAATTGGATCGGGCCGGTTTTCGAATTTCAAAAAAGAGTTTTTAACGGTTCAGTTCATTTTCAGATCGGTTCAAAACAGTCGGGTTTATGGTTCGGGGTTAGAAACTGACACCTCTAAACCTAGTACAGTTTTATAATCGTAGGATTAAGTCAAATATTTACCATATCCATGCAATCGGTCTTTTATGGATCCGGTCTACAATAAATTATTGTAGACCCAAAATTTGACACTTTCAAATAATATAATCACATTCTAAATGATATAATCACCTTTTTAGACGATATAATTATCTTTTTGTGAGTCATTTTTTGAATTATATAATCTCATATTAAACCATTTAATGAGATTATATAATTATCTTTAGGATGATAAAATTTTAAAAACATCTTTTGAATTATGTAATTTACTATTTGATACTTTTTATAATGATAAATTTACTTTTTGAGTGATACATTTATATAACAGTTTCAAGATGATATAATCACTTTTATAGTAATATAATCACATTCGTATGGTATACTAGAAGGTTGGGTCTACAATAAGTTATTGTAGAACCGGTCTATTCTAGTCTTTACCATATCCATGAACATTACCGCTACGGCGCTACGTAATACCCGCTCTTTTGCCAACTTTTTTTGATTCTTTCAGATTTCAGTTGTACCAAATTTGAATGTTTCACTAATGTGTTTTGATGTTTTGTCTTAATATGATTATGAATTTATGATTTTGAAATAAGAAAATTCAATTGTAAAACAGAACAAAACTTTGATTGGAATTTGGAATGTGTGGGAATATAAAGGTGGGAATGGGAATTATATGACCAATATCTCAAATCCTTTGCTCGTATAAAATTCTCCCTATCTAATTAATTGGTCGAGATAGATTCAATTAGCAAAATGCAACTGAATTTTTGCATAATACAATACTTTACTTGGCGATTTCATGGCAATTTTCTGCCATTACAGTTTGTGAAGTGTCTTCTCATGGATGCATTGAAACCTACAATTCAATGCATTCTCTCTATCTTCTTTATGCTCAATTGCGCGCACCCTGGAAGATTCATGGGATTACGAGCTTTGTTTTTGTGCATACCAACTGTTTGATAAAATGCCTCACTGAAGTTGGTTTGGTTTCTGAAGGTATACTCTTCTTAATGGATTTAGTTCCTACATATTCTGTGTGAGTAACTAGATGCACTTAATGAAGGCAGATATATACTTGGACTTACTCACATTTGTATGATCTGTTACCTCTTATCGGACCGATCTCGAAACATAGTTGATCACACTGACTGTTGTGAGCCAGTGAGTGTGAAACTATGAATGTATTTGATGTGCATTGTTTTGTGCTCTGACTTTGGTTTGTGAAACTGTGACAACTTAGTTGAATTTATTATAAATCGAGGTCTTTGATTCGTATGATACATTTAAATGAAAAGACTACGAAAGAGATGCAAAAATATGTTAGAAGTGCATAACCCATGAAGCATTTTCGAGTTGCTAGTTATTGCTGTTTTATGTTGGCAAGTAAAACATCAATAAGACCTTCAGTTACCTGCAGTCTTGGGTGTTGCTTTTGCAAGTAGAGGAATCTCTCGATGGGAGGTTAGGCCGATGCATTCAGTCAGATCTAATGTATCACCATCTGCTCCACCGGGCAGCATCCAGTCGAACTTATGGATGAGGTTTGCTAATACAAGCTCATTATTTGCAATGGCAAATGTAATTTCTGGGCAGTTCCTTCTTCCTGATCCGAATGGGATCAATTCGAAGTCTTGGCCTTTGAAGTCTGTAGGCTTATTTATGAACCTCTCAGGATTGAACTTTTCTGATTCATCCCACGAAGCAGGATCTCTGTGGATTGCCCAAGCATTGGTCATGACTGTGATACCTGCTGGAATATCATACCCGTTAATCTTGATGTCTTGTATTGATTTTCTTGGAACCAGCAAGGGAATTGGAGGATGTAGCCGAAGGGTCTCCT